TATATATATATATATATATATATATATATATATATATATATATATATATATATATATATATATATATATATATATACACACACATACATATATAAATATATATATACATGTATATATCCAAAAGTTCAAGAACAACAGAAATAATTTATTTTTTAGCATCCAATACCATTGTTTGATGTTCCTCCCCACACTGAAATAAGCATATATCCTTTACCAAGTGTTATCTTCAGAATGTTTGACTATGCTGATGCACCTGAGGTAATTTTTTATTAATTTATAAACTATGTTAAATAGTTGATATAATAAAAGTTGTATTCAAGTAAATTTATATTACTTGAATTAACTTTATTTGGTTATGCAATAAATTTTGAATAACAGATTGTTTGTCTAACTTCCTGTATTTATATTCCTGTCCTGCATTCATCTTGTATTTATATTCTTGTCTTGCATCCATCCTGTATTTATATTCCTGTCCTGCATTCATCTTGTATTTATATTCTTGTCTTGCATCCATCCTGTATTTATTTTCCTGTCCTGCATCCATCCTGTATTTATATTCCTGTCCTGCATCCATCCTGTATTTATATTCTTGTCCTGCATCCATCCTGTATTTATATTTCTGTCCTGCATCCATCCTGTATTTATATTCTTGTCCTGCATCCATCCTGTATTTATATTTCTGTCCTGCATCCATCCTGTATTTATATTCCTGTCCTGCATCCATCCTGTATTTATATTCCTGTCCTGCATCCATCCTGTATTTATATTCAATTAGTATAAGAGTATTAAGTATTCATTACTTTTAATAATTTAAACAATGTTAATAATTTTTTTTAACAATGTTAAATTTTTTACAATGCTTTTGCATTGTAAAATAATGTCAAACCTTACGACCAATTGTAAAATAATTTGTCAAACCTTACAACCAATTGTAAAATAATGTCAAACCTTACAATCAATTGGCCTAGGAACAAACTATGGTTTAGTGCTGTACACTCAATAAGAAATAACAAAAAATTGTATATCAGCCATTCACAACAAATTAAGTAAAAAATATATTGTATTTATCATTATAGGCAGAAAAAAAAAGAACTTTGTGTCAATGCCAGCTTATTATATATTATTAATAATAGAATTTATAAAAAAATCTTGTATTATATATAAAATAAATTTTTTGTATTTGTTATTTATAGTTTTAAAATAATTTTTTCATTCAGGAAAAACCGATTCCTGGTGCTCATGCAATAGAGCGGTATTTGGTGGAAGAAAGTATCTGGCGTATTATTTGTACACATTATAAGGATAGAAAGGAATGGTATAATCATTAAAATAATAATAATTTTATAACTAAAGTTAATGACACCAAACAGAAATTGTTTGACTAAAAGCTGTTTTTTTTGTTTGTTTGTTTGTTTTTTGTTTTTTTTTTTCAAAATGGGAATGTTAGATTGACTAAAATTACAAATGTTTCAAATATTTAATTGCCTTAGATGGCAATCATTATATAAATGGTTATTAAACTGTGTATAATTTGTTATTAAATTATATATAATAAGTAGGCAATTTTGTATATAAGTATAGAGGACACTGAAATAACATTTTTTAATTTTTGTTTTTGGGTAAAATCTCTATTTGTGGTAAAATCCCTATTTTGCAGGGATTTTACCACAGCTCGATTTGAATGTATAAATGCTACATTTTATAATGGCATATAACTTAGTTTAAACTAATTAGTACTACATTGCATTATAAAAAGGTTCGGTTTCTATAAGCATTACAATTATTGCTTAAAAATGTAATAATGATAGATTTCAAAGCCATTTAGTTTTTTAAAATCATTTTTTACATGGTAACTTGGAATTTTGATTGAAAAACTTGAATTAGTCTAATGTCAATTTTTTTTTTGTTAGGAGAGCTGCCTTTTAGCTATTCAAAAAATATATTTTATTTTTAATTACTAATTAATAATAATAATTTTTTTTTTTCTATGGTAGATTTAATTGTAAAACTTTTAAGAAAATTAAGACTCTTATTATTTTAAAAATATTTTAACATATAACTAATTTAAGATTTCAACTGGCATTGTTTCAATTCATTGGTTACATAGCTATTAAATAATCTGGTGGCAAAACAAGCAATAATTAAATTTAAAACTAAATGGTTTTGAGGATGAAATAAAATAATTTTAATTTAAAAACATTTACTTTGTAAACAAAATTTTTTTAATACTTAAAATTCAGCAATCGCATTTTCTTATAATTAAAAAATAAACTGTTAAAAGTGATGCGAAATAATATTTTGAGGCCGATGTTAAATAATGGTTGCATTTTATTATGCAAAATATTATTATGTTTGAAGCGCTCAAAATTTAACACTTTAAATCAGATAATTATAGAATTTAATTTGTGAAAGTACAAATAAAGTGAATAAAAAATTATAGAATTTAATTTATGAAAGTATAAATAAAGTGAATAAAAAATAAAGTGAATAAAAAATAAAGGGAAAAATTATTTGTTGATCATTTAAAGAATAACATTAATTTTTTTCTCCCTGAAATTCAAACAATTTCAACCTAATAAAAGAGCTACAACAACTAACACAAGTTTTAGTTATACGAGACTGCCCTATTCAATCTATTAACAAAGGTTTTAAAAAAGCACTATGACACAAAAGCATACACACAAATTTGTCTACAGCAAATATAAAGAAGGAAGAGAAAAAGAGAGAATTTCGGCAGTAGTTACAACATTTGGAAAAGTTGAAAAACTTATCAATAAAATAATAAAAAAGCACTGGAATATTGTTGAACAGGATACTGATCTTAAAAACATATGGCAACTCCACCTATTACGAGTTACAAAAACATTAAATTGATCAAGGAATTTCTAATCCAGATGGTACATAAAAAAACATGAATAAAAAATCAGATAATTATAGAATTCAATTTGTGAAAGTATAAATAAAGTGAATTAAAAATTATTTTTTGAATTATTTGTAAGGTACACACATATATAAATAGTTTTTAAGCTTCAGTTAGGCCATCTATACATTTTTAACATAGCCTTAATATTACCTTTCTAATCCTGTACAATTTTATATCAAATTTTTCAGCCCTTTGTAATTTTGAATACCTGTTGCTTTTTAACATTTGGCTTTGTGCATTTAGTTCTACCTGCCCCCTCTTTTTTGGTCTACTATGTTATTGGTGAACAACTATTAATAATAATAATTATTAATTGTTATGCAATTAGTAATAATAATTGTTAATAATTGTTTACATATATTTCACCAATACAAAAAAAAATTTGGGAAGAGGTGGGATTTGCACAACAGACATTCCGTGTATGAATTAAACACCTTATCCAAACAAACTAAATGTGCGCATAGCTATAAATAAATAATTATAATTATATATAATAAAAAAGTTATAAATAAAAGTATACACATGCATTACATAGACGTTTTCATATAGGAACAATATATACTTGTTGCGTTAAAATTATGCAAATATATTTTACAAACAGATAGCAATTTATATTTTCGCTTTCCTCTTTAAAAAAAAACAAACAAATAAAATATAGGAAAATAATTCTTTTGACTTGTGTTGTGTTGAATGTTGACTTAAAGCTGCTTTTTTGTTGTTGCTTTTTTGCCTTATTCAATTTTGCTGGAAATAACAACCACTTTAACGAAACAAAAATACAAATTATTTAAACAAAACACAAATTATTTAAATTAATTTTTTTTTAATTTTTTCTGTTTAAATTTATTTTAATTTTCTAATTTTGCTTATCTTTTGAAATTTAGTTTTTCCCGCAACGTTTAATATAAAAAACATGCAAATGGCTGTGACCAAGTTTTCTGAAATAAAATACTCATCCATGGACATACAAGACAAAAAACCACACACATTTTATGGAAAAGCTTGCCATAAAAGGAGAGTTTATGAGGAAATCAGCATGCCAAACTTTATCAAAAGCTTTAAAATGTCTAGATCAATAGTCTTAGCCTCTCCACATCTATCCAATGCACAATAAAACCTATCAGTTGTAATCATTAACAAATCAGCAGTAGAACAAGAAGTTCATAATCCATATTGATGATCAGAAAGTAAGTTATTAGATTCAAGTTGAGAGATTAAGTGTTTTTAAATTAAAGACTCAAAAACCTTGCTTGTGATAGTAAAAAGACTAATGGTATGGAGTCAGATTGCTCTACAGAGGTTTTGAAAACAAGGATAACAGATGTTGCTTTCCAGCTGACTAGAAAACAAAACTCTGACAAGCACTTGTTAAATAGTTTTGAAAGTATAGACGACAGCTCCAGTGAATACTTCTGCAAAACAGTTATGTTGTCTGTGTCCAGACAACATAACTGTAGAAGAGTGATTTCCATAGCGGTAGAAGAGTATTTCCTGCTTAGGCAGGAAATCACTTTAGATACAGAGGCTGGAGTAATATGAGCGCCAGGCAATGGGTGTCTGCTATATCAAGTAGAACGCAACTAGTGGAATCAAGAGATAATATTGATGAGAAGTTTATAGCAAACATTTCAGCTTTGTCTTTAGGTGAGGTAACTAAATCTGAACCATACAATAGAGGTGGAATAGCAGATTTGCCCTTAATATAGATACTGTTAAAAATTCTCCAATAGTCACAAGAGCCTAATTTTTGAGATGAAATATGAGATTTTGTAACCTGATAGGGGGCTTTGGTCTTGGACAAAACCTTTATACAATGATTTCTAGCAATGGTAAATTGCTGATAGATATATAAAAGTAATGGTTACAATAGGAAATTGCAACAACGTAATGAGAGAAAAACCATGGAGTAGAGTGAGACTTAACTTAAGAGGAATCGTCGAGACTTGGAATCATCAAGAATCTTGTGAATCCTTCCTGTAGCATGTACAATAAAGCATCCCTGTATGTTTATTTACTTAGGGTGATTTCTACTATATTAGTTATTTACTTTTCATAACTTCTACATTACCCAGTAGCATATGCAGCAAAGCATATTTATACATTTATCTCTTATTAATTTTTCTTAATTTTTGTTTTATCTCCTATTGATTTTTCTTAATTTTGTTTTATCTCCTATTGATTTTTCTTACTTTAGTTTTATCTCCTATCGATGCATGACAGTGGCTTTAATACACTTAGGATGTTTTTTTTTAATTACTGTAACTTGAAACACGAAATCTTTGAGCACATCTAATGCCAATCTAGTCTCCATTGAAGCCTGCATTAAATATTGACTTTTGAAGAAGAAGCTTCTTTGCAGCCTTATAAGTCCCTAAGTTTTTTCACTTAAGTAAACAGCACTCATGTTAATTTTTTTCCAATTGTATAGTTATACCAGCAAAAAATTATAATTAGTTATCTCCTAGTAACAAAAAAAAATTATAATAAGTAGTCTCCTAGTAACAAGAAAAAATTATAATGAGTAGTCTCCTAGTAACAAGAAAAGATTATAATGAGTAGCTTCTTTGACTGTATGACTGGACCCTTGATCTTTAGGAGGAGAATTTTAATAAAATAGTGTGAGCAAAACATATATTAATATAATTTAAATTCCCCATTTTGTATTCTTTTGAAACTAAAATAATTGAGTACTTCACTTTTTTTGGGTTGTAATGTTTGGGTTTTTTTGTATTGTCTTTTTGTCACTGGAAATCTGAGTTTTTAATTTATTTTAATTATAGTTTAATTTTTGCTTATTAAATATTTTTTTAAATTTTTTATACTCTTATAGTTTATTTTATTTAATATAGCAAAATATTTTTTCTTATAAAAAATTTTTATGAAAAATACGACAAAAATAAAAGTAAATACATACAGTCAAAAAGATCCTTCTTTATATATATATTTTTTATTCTTTTTGAAGATGTTAATTTTTTTTAGTGCAAATCAGTTAATAAATTGTCCTGTACGAAATAAAGTTCCAATTGAATATATAATCACAGAGGTAAGCCATATTTTTTGTCTATAGTATGTTTTGTAGAAATCTGTCTACAGTATGTTTTATTAGCAACCTGAATTGTAATAAAATGGTAAAACTTTTTCTTAAATTGAAATAGATTGGATAATAGAAAGTAAAAAATAAATTTTTTAATTTTTATATATTTTATTGAGCTAAGTATTTTATTGTAGGCATTTTTTATCTTTTTAATTGAATTTACCTCCCAAGGCTAAGAGGGTTACTACAGTTACTTTAGCTTACTTTCTTTAGTTGTGCTTACTACGGTCTCTTAACTCTAACCGAAATACAAGCCTTGGCAAACATGGCATCTGGGTAGGGAAACAAATTAAGTGTGGTACTATTAGTAAGTGATTAAAGCCCTGGCCTCGGCTAAATATTAATGGGGTTAATAGTTGAAATTAAAAAATTAGGAAAGCCACACAAATAATACTATGTATTTAGTATATATTACAAAATACATCTAAATTATTTACTGTTAACATAATACCAACCATATAAATTTAGAATATCAAATAATAATTTAGACATTTTAAAATAATTAGTTTTATCAAAGGTTTCAAGTTCCCAGGTGTCATAACAATATGAATTAGGTGGTATGAAGTCCTTAAAATTTAAATAAGAAAGTCCTTTAAAAGTATTTATAAGTATTAAAAAAAAAAAAAGTGTTTCAACATTCTTTGAAGTAATCTAATGCGTTCTTTTTGAATTAATTTTGAAACTTTAAACTCCTGCTCAATTGTTGTTGAGCGTGTGAACATAAATATGTTGCAAAGTTTGCCAGGGTTGGCAATTTGTTTTTTATCAAATTCATACATAACTGATCTTCTGCAATTCTATAAAATACAGCTGAATCAGCTAGCAGAGCGGAAGAGACATTAAAAGCAACAGTAATGTCAAGTTCGAACAATAATCTATCAGTAAAAAGTGCATCAATAAAAAAAAGTTATACTAAGCAAGGAAGTTATAATTATATTTATAGTTATAATTAAGCAAGGAGGCAACATTCTTAGACAGAAATTGGGAATAGTAAATGTATCTGTTATTGTTTATCAAGGAAGAATAAAATGGTTTGGGTATGCATAGAGAGAGTTTTAAGAGGAAAAAGCTAAAGGTAAAAGTAAAAATACTTTAAGAGTTTTTTTTAAACTTTGGAGATGTAAGAGTGTGCAAATAGTATTATGAAAAACATATAACCTATGTAAGCACAAAACAAGTAAGCTAGTTGAATTGAGTGTAATGATGATGATGATGATGATGATGATGATGATGATGATGATGATGATGATGATGATGATGATGATGATGATGATGATGATGATGATGATGATGATGATGATGACTATGTTTTATCAAACCGAATCCCAGCCCTGATTAAATATCAACCTTGGTTACTTACTAGGTGCTACTAGGGACAGGGTGGGAACTCAAAACTTCTTGCTTACAAGTTGAATGATCCACCACTACACCACTATTGCAATATGCAGTAGTGTTCTAGTGATGTTTTCTTTGTATAAATGTGTTACTTTTATACACTTACACATTTTTAACACACATACACACACTTTTAAATACTATATGATAACACATAAAAATACATACTATAATAATACATGCAATAATAATTTTTGTGTGAGCACCCAATTTACATTTGTAATTGCTTAGTGTTTCATATCAGTCACACACAAACTTTTGTAAACAGACAAAACCAAGTTTGAACATATTTATATTTTAGTGATTTGGAAGACTTCAATTTATAGCCTTTACTCATAGCCTATTCAATTAAATTAAGTTCTGATTCAATTGAATATCTAAATGGTACTGTCAGTTATTCATGCAGTTTCTCAAAGTGAGATGTTCCTATCCCAAAACCGTCTGAAGGCCCTCTTTATTGATACATCTGTCAATAGTGCTAAAGGTGTTTTGCTGCAAATAAAAAGTTATTTCCATTTTACCAGTTATCAATAAAAGAAACCAATGCAAATCTTGAACAGGTTTTGAACAAAAAAAGTAGTGTTTTTTATGTTTCTGGGGCAGTCAAGCATGTTCAGAACACTATTGATGTACCTTTTGGCTTTTTAGAGATACAGTGCAGCTTGGGATAAACAATTTTAGTAGCCCCTTGATCAGCACAGACAAAATCATTTTGCCTCCACTGCATATGATAATGGGCTTGTTCAAACAATTTGTAAAAGCAAAATGCAAATCTTTAGTTAAATTGCCGAAAAGTTTCAAGTACTAACTAAACTTAAATCTGTCAGTTCTGCTTTCTGATAACTTTGAAACTACCATAAGTAATGTTGAAAAAGCTCTTGTTTGCTCCTACTCCTTGCTTTTGTTTTCTTACAAAAGTTTCTTACAAAAGCAAGGAGCAAACAAGTAATGTTTGTTTTCTTACAAAAGCAAAACAAGTAATGTTTACTCTTACTCCTTGCTAAACGAGTAAGGTACAAAAGCAGCAAATTTCAGTGAATTAGTTGATCAGCTTGTTCTATCATACAATATTTATAAAATATATTACTCATGTTTAATTTTCTTGACTCACATCTTTTTTCATGGCAGTATAGCAACAAGCACGGGGAAAAGTTTCCATCAGAATGTTGCACAAACTTAAAGTAGATAAGGGGCAAACTTTTAAACATACTGTTTCTAAAAGAATAAAAATTTATTAATGATTATTATTTGTATATTATTAGTATATTATTTAATGAATATTTTCAATAACAAAAGTGTTATTAATCTCAATGTTTCTTTTTGTAATTTTTAAAAAACAAAAATAATCATACTGTTAAAAAAAATAAAATTTTTGTAAATAAAATTAATATTTTAATCGAGTTTAAAAAGCTATAAAAACTATATAACAATTAAAATTTAATAGTAAAATTTTTTTTTCTTTTTTTATTAAATAAAGTGAATAGTTAGTATTAGGGGTGTCCCCGATAACATTTTTTAAATATCAAATTCCCAAATATTTAAAATTTATCTGGCTGGACATACAACTGGATATTTTAATTCAAATCCTAGAATATATTTTATTATGACAGAATATTGCAGTGATAAACCTTCAAAATAGCGAGTTTTGTTTTCAAAGTTAATGATAACTGACATTTTCAATTATTGAAAACACAGAGAGAAGTTTCCACTGCTAAAAGAGTTAGCACTTAAGTTGTACCACCTGCATCCTCTGTATTTTTAGAAAGATTATTTTCAGAATATGGAAATATTTATGAAAAAAGGTGATCAAGGCTGTTATTATCAGCGTGAAGAAATGTTATTATTTATACATCATGATGCAAACAATTTTATAAAGGTGTGATAAACTAATTTTTTTTTTTTTGCGTATATTCAATTTTAATAGTATTTTCATAATAATAATAACATTATTGAATAAATACCATTAATATTAGATTATTTAAAAGTATAACATTTTGAGAGTTTAAATATTTCAATTTTTAAATGACATTAACATGAAATATCTGGTATATCAAAATATCCGGGGTACAACAAATTAAATTTTTTTTTTTTTAAGTAATAAACAAGAAATGTCATTACAACAACATTAATATTAATAAAATTTTATAAAAAGGAAGTTTTACTTTTTAATACATAATAAATTTTGATAATAACAGCCTTGATCACCTTTTGTTGAATAATTTAAATGTCATCTTTGATACAAAGATTCATAATAAATATATTTTTTGATACAATTTTAATTACATATATTTAGGTTGTATTTGGCGCCATGTTTCGATTACCTGAAAATGAGCATCTATTTTTATTTTATGGTTCACTTATAATTGAACTTTGTAAAATAAATCCACAAACAATGCCTGGAGTTGTATCTTTTCATGTGTGATCTTGATATTAAAGCCATTTTATTAATAGTAATATATTTTATAAAGGACATTAGTAATAGTGATAGACAGTAGTTTATCACTTTATTGCTTTTACTCTTTTTCTCTCTCTTGCTCTCACACATTTGTTTATGTACTCTACATATATGTTTACTACTAGCAAATGTACTTGTATACAAAGCAAGCAAATGTAACTGTACAGCTTGTGTACTACACACATTTTTACTCCTAACAAAGTTTGTGTGTATACACAAGTCTTGCTCAAGCAAGCAAATGTAACTGTACAGCTTGTGTACTACACACATTTTTACTCCTAACAAGTAAAAAGTAAAAAGCTAGTCAAAAAGCCTGCCTTGATGATCCAAATCCTGCCTTGATGATTTTTGCACAGATTTTTAAATTTTACACAAGTCTTGCTCAATGAGTAAAAAGCCAGTCAAAAAGCCTGCCTTGATGATCCAAATACTGCCTTTTTACTCTGAATTTTTCAATGTTATGATTAAAGTTTTTAAAAACGATGTCATAGAAAAATTAAAATGAATTTAAATTAGGTTTTAGTAATAATTTTTGAAAGCTAAACTGTATAATTTTTTTTTTTGTGCTTTTGTGCTTAGTTCCATTTATTTTTATTTCGCTTTGCTGTGTTTCCACTTTTTGTTCCAGAATTGCCATTTGAAAAAATATCTGATCCTTAAAGTTTTAGTTTATGCAAAACCACGTACTTTGTTTTCATGGAGCGAATTAACTTATATTTGTTAGTGAAAAAGTTATTAAAAACAAAAGAATAAACTTACAATTACAAAAGTAATAACATTAATGTTTTTGTTATACTATTATATTACTTACATTACTTTTATAAAGCATTTATAATCTTTATAATTTACTGTTCAAACAACACTTATTTAAATTATTATGAATAAAAAAAAATTTGTATTTTGCTTTGCTGTGTTTCCATTTCCTTTTTGTTCCAGAATTATCCCAACTTTTAATTGAAATAGAAATGCATCTAGAAAAAATAGAATAGACGTTTAAATAATATCAAAAACTTCAGGAGCTTTTACAAATACATATTTTTATAACACAGTTCAACATTTTAAAACTATTACTAATAGTCTGAAAAAACAATGCACAATAATTTTAAAATGCTTTTTATATTACTTTTTTGCTAACAAATTTAAGTTAGTTTGCCCTATGAAAACAAAGTGCATGGCATGAACTAAAATACAAATGCCAGATTTCTTTCTATATAGCCATATCTATATACTCTATAACTCCGAAACACGAACCTTGACGAACAAGGCCGCTGAGCGGAGAAACGAGTTGAGCGCGGTACTACCAGGGACGTGGTGGGGATCGAACTCGGAACCACTCGTTTATGAAGCGAGCGCTCTACCACTACACCACTACCGCATATAAATAAGGTTCAATAAATCAATAAACATGCAAACAAAAGTTTTAATGATTTTATTTTTATTATTTTATTTATTATTAATAAAATATATTTTTTTCAGTTTTGATTTTAACTGTGTTGTTTACAATTAAAATAAATAATTTGTATTTGGAATTTAAATGAAATGTTCGTTTTGCCATTTTATTTTAATTATTTTTTTAGGAGTTTTAAAAAAAAAAGTTTGTTTTTCCATTTATTTTTGTTTCAATCGTTTTATTTAGAATTTAAATAAAATAATTAAAATTAAAGTTAAGTTAAAATAAATAAAATAAAACATTTGTTTTACTTTTTTTATTTTACCTATTTTGTATATTTATTTATTTAATAAGTAATAAAATAAAGCATTGTTTTTTCCGTTTTTATTTATTTTTTGTATTATTTGATTAAAAATTTATATATATGTGTGTGTCTGTGTGTGTATGTATATGTATATGTATATATATATGTATATATATATATATATATATATATATATATATATATATATATATATATATATATATATATATATATATATATATATATATATATATAATCAATCAATTAATCAATCAATCATATATTTCTGAATTAAGGTTTTACATTCAAGGATTTTTACAAATAGTAAAATTTTCATAATATATAATAACGATAATAAACTTTATAACATAAAATAAAGATGTAATATAAATAACGATGTTATAACAATAATAACATAATAACAATAATAATAATAACAATAATAATAATAACAATAATAACAACAATATTAGTATTAGTAATAATAAAAGTTAAAAGTAGTTATCAATAGTAAATATTAGTAAAAATAACAAAATAACAATAATCAATAAAAAATATAGAATAGAAACTAAAAAAAAAAAATATATATATATATATATATATATATATATATATATATATATATATATATATATATATATTACGACAACAAAAATAGGTTATAGAAATTATAAACATTAAATATATTTTTTTAATAAAAGGTAGAATAAACTGGTTTTAAAGGTTGAGAATGGATTGAGAGCTTTAAGTTCATAAGGAAAGTTGTTTCAAGTTTTAGTGCTTTGATATTTTATGGATTTATGCCCGTAATTATGAGAGCGGTGTTTAGAGACAGACAGGTTTAAATTACTATCGGAGCGAAGGTGATAACGATTGTTGGTACTTTTGGAGAAGAAATTAATAAAAGTTAAAGGTAGGTTATTGTGTTGGTGGTTTCAGACAAATTGAAAGTTTAAAAGTTGAATATAGTCACATAGTTTTAATACTTTAGAAGTTAGGTTTTACATTCAAGGATGAGTTTAACATTAGAGTTAAATTTAATATTCTGAAAATGAATAATTTTTAAATCCTTGTTTTGGAGGTGGGATAACCTAATAAGAGCTTGTTGATGTGACTGCCCCCATACTTGGCATGCATATCTAAGATGTGAGCCAAAAATAGCATGGTATATTTTCAAGAGTGTCTCAAAATTAACATAATGGCGAATTTTGGCCAACATACCATTAGATCTACTTAGTTTCATTGCTAAGTCTTTACAGTGGGATAAAAAGACAGATTTGAATCGATTTTTATACCAAAATATTTAATTGATTTAATTGAGGTTCAGTTTTTTTGCCACTTAATCTAAGTTCATATGTTTATAGATTTTTGTTTTATTTGATTTAAAGATAATGAGCTCAGTTTTATTAGAGTTTAAAAAAAGTTTGTTGGAGCGAAGTCACTGAACTAGATTGGCAAGATCATGGTTAATGTGTTTGTTAATTTTTTTAAGGGATTTATTAATTAGTATTAGATTAGTATCATCAGCAAAATGGTAAACAGTAGCAAACTTAATGGATGTATGAAGATCATTTATATTGTGCTGCTGCAATTGCCAATCGAAACCATTACTTCCATATCTATCAGCAAAACAATTCTCCAGAAAACAGATGTCTCTTTATTACTGCTAGGAACCATTGTAAAAAGGTTTTGTCTAACGCCAAAACCCGCTATTCTCAGATCATGAAATCTTGAATTTCATCACAAAAATTAGGCTCTCGTGACTTCTGGAGAATCTTTAACAGTATCAATAATAAGGGCAAGTCTGTAATTCCACCTCTTTTGTATGGTTCAGACTTTGTCACCTCACCTAAAGACAAAGCTGAATTGTTTGCCAAGAACTTTTCATCAATATCATCTCTTAATGCCACTAGTTGCGTTCTACCTGATATAGCCGTCAAACAGGTTGATCCTCTGCTCGACATCCGTATCACTCCAGCTTCTGTATATAAAGTGATTTCCTGCTTAGACTCTTCTACAGCTTGCAGCCCGGACAACATACCTGTTATAGTCTTGCAGAAGTGTTTTCCTGAGCTGTCGTCTATCTTTTCAAAACTATTTAACAAGTGCTTATCAGAGTCTTGTTTTCCAGCCTGCTGGAAAGCAGCATCTGTTATCCCTATTTTTAAAAATTCTGGAGAGCGATCTGACTCATCTAACTACCGTTCCATTAGTCTTCTTCCTATCATAAGCAAGGTTTTTGAATCTTTAATTAACAAACACTTAATCTCTCATCTCGAATCTCATAACCTACTTTCTGATCATCAGTATGGATTTCGATCTTCTCGTTCTACCGCAGGGGGCATCTGAGCTCGAAAAGGATCTCACTTCTGCTACAGCATGGGGCTCGCAGTGGCTGGTGAACTTTAATTCAGATAAAACTCAATTTTTTTCGGCCAATCGTTATCGCAATAATTTAGACCTTCCTATATTTATGATCGGTAATGTACTCGATGAGTCTCCTATCCTTCATCTTCTAGGATTAACTCTTACTTCTGATCTTTCTTGGAAACCTTATATTAAATCCGTTGCAAAATTAGCATCTGCTAAAGTTGCTTCTCTTTATCGAGCTCGTCACTTTCTTACTCTGGATTCTATTCTCTATCTCTATATATCTCAAATCCGGCCTTGTATGGAATACTGTTGCCATATCTGGGGCGGATCTTCTAATGATGCCCTTTCTCTTTTAGACAAGGTACAAAAACGCATTGTAAACATAGTTGGACCTGCTCTTGCAGCCAACCTTCAACCTCTGTCACATCGTCGTAATGTTGCTTCTCTTTCTCTTTTCTACAAATACTATAATGGACACTGCTCTAAAGAGCTAGCGTCTCTTGTGCCATCTACTAAAATTCATTTTCGTGTTACTCGTCATTCAATTAAGTCTCATCCTTTTTCTGTTACTGTTCCTAAGTGCTCCAAAAACTCTTATTCGTCTAGTTTTTTTCCTCGAACATCAGTTATTTGGAATTCGCTTCCTTCATCTTGCTTTCCTGATTCATATAATTTGCAATATTTTAAGTCGTCTGTCAATCGTTATCTTGCTCTACAATCTTCATCTTTTCTCTTCCAGTAACTTCCAACACTAATAAGTGGTTGCTTGCAACCTTGTTGGAAGCGAAGATAATTAAAAAAAATATATATATATATATAAAGAAGAAAAAGCAGTGGTCCTAATACTGAACCCTGAGGAACACCATTAGAACATTTTACAAGGGTAGATTTTGAGTCATTAATAGAAACAAATTGTGTTCTATTGTTTAAATATGTAGTGAACTATTTAAGCGGTACGCCTCTGATCCCATAATATTCTAATTTTTTTAACAAAATTGAATGATCCACTGTGTCAAACGCTTTATGTAAATTGACAAATACACCACATGCAAAACATTTATCATCAAGTGCTTTTCTAATTAGTTCAGTCATTTCAATGAGAGCATGAGTTGTGGAGTGATTGGCACGAAATCCATACTGATGGGTGTAAAAGCATTTAAAATTTTCAAGAAAAGAATATAGCCTATTATGCATTGCCTTCTCAAAGAGTTTACCTATATTAGAAAGCAGAGAAATGGGTCGGTAATTGGTGAAATCTAGAAGAGAACCTTTTTTAAATATTGGAATAATTTTGGCAACTTTAAAAATATCTTGGAAAATACCACTTTTAAATGAGTTATTTATAACAGTACAGAGAGGCTTTGAAATAATGTGTGAGACTAGTTTGAGGAGAAATGTAGGTACGCTATTAGGACCAAGACTTTTTTCTGTTTTAAGCGTGTTTGTAATGAGACCAGATATTTCATTTTCAGTTACTGGATTAATAAAAAACGAATTAGCATTTGGAATGTTAAGAAAGTTACTAAATATGCGTTTTGGGAACTATTTGCAAAATTTAAATTTTGCAAATAGTTCATTTTTCTTATAAATATTTTTTGGTTTAATAAACTTTTTATAAAGTTTGTTTTTAACTGAAATAGATTTAAGTATTCCATACGCAATCCAAGGTTTTGATTTTAGTTTAATTTGTTGGTTGGTTAGTATTTTATAAAGAGCATGTCGGTCTAGAATTTCATCAAATGTTTTTAAAATAAAATTCATGGGTTTATTAACATCATCATCTTTTTTAATAAAGAGTTCCGAGTTGATATCAGAAATTTCCTCAATAAATATATTTTTATTAAATTTTTTGAAGCATTGTCTGTAAGTTTTTACTTTTTTGGGGTGATGGGGTATGCCAGGAATGCAAATAAATTGTGCCATGTGGTCTGAAATTGAAATAGTAAGGTTACCTGAGAATTGAACAGTTGAATGAAAGTTTGTAAATATGTTATCAATGAGCGTTTTTGATGTAGCTGTTATGCGTGATGGTAAAATTATAGAAGGGCTAAGCAAGTAAGATGTTAAAGAATCTAGATATGTAGAAACAGGGTTAGATTCATTGTGACTTAATAAATCCATATTAAAATCACCCAATAGAAGAATCTTTTTTTTTTCGTTACTTACCTTTTCAAGTAGAGGAGTTAAGTGGGAAGAAGTAAATTCATGTTGATTCATTGAGGGATGATGATAAATGCAACCAATTATTATATTTGATTCAAAAGGTATTCAAATTTCAACAAAAATAGACTCTAAATGTTTTGAAGAGTAAATCATAAGATCATTGCGAACGACGTAGTTTAAATTTGAGCGTAAGTATAAAAGTGCTCAACCTTTTTTAACCTCAGTAGGACAATGCTCAATATTAAACCCGTTTATGTATATATCAGTTGTATTTGTATCGTTTATATATAAATTAGATTCTGTAATACCTATTGCTAAGGGAAAATTATTAAGAGAGCTGATAAGACTACAGAGTTTGTCAATATGGAATGGTAGAGAAGCGATGTTAAGATGAATATATAGTTCTGAATTGGGAAGCATAGTTTTATTGAGATCAACAACGTCATAGTATTTGCAATTAAAAGAACTGGGAAATTTATTTAGATTTTTAAAGATATTTTTATGATTACTTGGAGTCTCAAAAGAATATAATGAACTAGTAGATATATTTTTGCATAATAATGTTGACTGAAGCTCCAAGTTGGAAATCGAGCTAAAGGCCATACTCTTAGATAAACAGCTATGCCAATACAAATCTGACGTGTCATTCAAAAGAAGGTTATATGATTGTGCATTGATATGGTTACACTTTGCATGGACCCATGAGTTACAAAGATCACATTGGATGGCTCTTTGTTTGTCAGTTATATTTTTATGACAAGTATTGCAGAGAGATTTAAATGCCATAATCTTTAAATTATGGCATTTGAATCATTAAAACAAAAAATATGTTTAAACAGAAATAGAGATATAATTAAAAAAATATGAAATGTAAAATAGAGATTTAAAAAAAAAAAAAAAAAAATTATTAATTTAAAACTTGGGTAACTGTTGGCGCAAATAATCAAAAATAATTTTAATAACAATATAAAGAAATGATAAAAAAAGTGTGTAACACTAAAGAAAGCTAAAAGCTAACAGTTATAAAATTAAACAATCAAAATAAATAAAACTTTGACAAACCACGAACTAACATTAACAGTAACTAAGACAACTAAAGATATCAAATATAAAAAAAAAAAACTAATAATACTTTAATAATATCTATATTATATTAATAATATATACTAATAATAATATAACTACTGTTAACTGCTACCAATAATAATATTGTTAGCAAAGATACTAAAATAATAATATGTAAAAATAAGTCAATAATAAATAGGTTTATAAAAATATAATATTAAATATATATGTAATAAATAAGATAAGTAATTATCAAACGAGGACTAAAAATAAATACAATTAACTATAAAAAAAATAATATGTGAGAAAACAAATAATAAAATAATGACTGAAAAATAATAACTAATGAATTAAAAATAATAATAGCTAATGAATTATAATCATGATTACAAGTTATATCGTAAAGAAAAAATAATTATTAAAAAAAACAAAAAAAAACCCAATCTTCGAGCTCTACATTTGCTTATTATTCTTTCTTTTTAAATTGATTATTTAATTTTTCTAATCTTTTCTTTCTTTTTATTTGTTACTTTACTTTACTTTCGTTCTTTTGTTTTACCTTTTTTTTTTGTATTTGTTTTTTTTTTTTGATTAAGTTTATGAAGTGTTTTTTTTTTTTTTTTTTTCTAATTTCGAAGTTCTTTTTTTATTTTTTTTTTACATATACTTTTTTCCTTTTTGAATGATTTTTTGTGGGCGTGTTTGCTTCAAGTTAATTTATATGATCGTTGATGAGTTATTTGTGGTTATAAAATAAATAAATAATTAGAATTTTTATGTATGGATTTTTTTTTTCTACTGTCAAATTTTCCTATTGGTTTTTTCTATAATATTTATCTTAAATTTTCTCTTTTTCCGTTATAAAAATGCATCCACCATTTGCGAAGACCTTGCAATGTCATCCTTGCTTGATTTTATATATATATATATATATATATATATATATATATATATATATATATATATATATATAAAATCCCAAAAAGCATTGCAAATTTATTAGCATATTCTAACTAAAGTTGCAGGTTTATATATGATCATGAAGATTTTAATTATTGTGTTCCTAAATATACTTTCATTCCTAAAATAATTAGGATTAAAAAATTTGTTGCTATATCTTTTTCTTACATAGATGCTCTTATTTCAATTAATTTTCTGAAGTCCCCACCTATCACAAATCACAATCCACCTATCATAAATTCAGTATGATATCATTCATAACTATATTTTAAATATTATGTTAAATATCATGTTAAATAGATCATTGCTTTTTTTTTTAAGTTTTAAATGCAAAAATATGTTTTAAATGATCTGGTTTAAGAATCTGTTTTCAGTGATAGTAGTAAAAAAAAATTATTACAGTTTTATTTAGTACAGTTTTTTTTTCAGCTTTTTAAAAACAACTCTATACCTTTTTAATTACTCAATTGATTTATATAAATTTTGATCTGTTCTATTTGGTATTCATTATAAATGTTGTTTATATTATTTATTATTTAATGTTTATATAGTTGTTTTAACTTTACATCAGTCACTTTTCTTAACAATGAAAATTTAGATTGCGCAAGCTGTTGAATTGTTATTTGACAGATTGCCCACCATGAATGTAACATGTGTTGATCGGTAAAATTATAAATTAAATGAATAAAAATGGGTTTTTAACAAAAGTTATGATTATTCAGTATAAACAATCATTTCTTATTGTTTTTAGTTAACAATCATTTTAATCAGAGTCAAAAATATATGTTTATAATATTTGAATTTGTCATAAATATTTTTTCATCCTTGAGTTATAAATATTGTGTAAAGTATATTTTATAATATTGATAATATAATAATATTGATATATATAATAATATGATATATATAATATATATTGATATATATAATAATATATATTGATATATATAATAATATAATAATATTGATAATATAATAATATATTGATAATATTTATAATATTGATGGACTTCTTTTTATATTTGTGGAGACTTTAAAAAAATTCACAAGTTTTGCCACTTGTTATAAGCAGGAAACCTGGTTGAAATAATGATACAATTTAGACAAGCATTTTAATGGTTGGAAGTAAGTGATCAGATTGCTGTAACATCACCATTTTGGATTTAAAATACCTGTATCAAAAAAAAAAAAAAAAAACTTCTTAACTTTTATAGTGTAATGATTGGAATACTGCAAATTTCTTTGGAAAATTATTAACAATTTGTTCAATTCTCTTAAATAAGATTTGTATAATTCTCTTAGACAAAATTTGTATAATTCTCTTAGATAAAATTTGTATAATTCTCTTAGATAAAATTTGTATAATTCTCGCTGACAAAATTTGTATAATCCTCGCAGACAAAATTTGTATAATTCTTGCAGACAAAATTTGTATAATTCTCGCAGACAAGATTTGTATAATTCTCGCAGACAAAATTTGTATAATTCTCGCAGACTAAATTAAAATATAATTGTAATACTATAATTCCTTTAAACATTTTTTTACATGAAGAAATTTACATGTGAATAAACATAAAATCTTAGCTCTATACTTAAGTCTTCATGAAAAACAAAGAATAGCTTAACACTTTATAGATTATATAATTAATATTATTATTTAATACATATATATTTAAATAAATGTTATAAACATAATTATGGTAAAAATATTAACATATTTATCACACATATCATAACACTCAGCAATATTACAAATTGCTGCACAAACATATTTAAGTTATTTAATCTTTAGCTGAAAAAGACGTGTCGGTTAGTGCAGAACATTCACCAACTTCAGAAGGTCCTTTTAAATATGCATAACAAAGAAAAAAAAGAGAAGGTTCTGTGTTTGGTTAGCCTGCCTGTTTTTTGTGTGATTCTTTAACACACAAAAAACAGGCAGGCTAACCAGAATATCCTCCGATCTTCTATATATTTTTCAAACAGAATATCCTCCGATCTTCTAAATGAATATCCTCCGATCTTCTTCATGCTTCAGAATTGAAATGCTTCAGAATTTCAAAATATCACAACAATGTGTTGTAACAATATAATGCTGCTGCAAGATTAAAAAATACTTCTGTGGGCACATACAGTCTTGTCGATGACACCTTCTGACATGAATTTTTGAAAACTTCACTTTGCAGTCACTTTATTGATTATAACTTCAAAAAGTTTTACAACTTTTTGAACATATTTTGTTATTGCAATGTTTGTTCACATTACTATGTTCAGAAATAATAGAAAAAACTAAATTCAATAAAAAATATATTGAGAAAATATGATGAAAAGATGATGAAAGCAATAATTTGGTTGAATTGGATTGAAAATCAGGTATATAAAATTTGAATTAATCTTGCATTCATGTGATAAAGCATTTTAGTTTTAAAATTTGTCTCTATAAATTAGATTGAAGATAAATCTATTAACAACAGTTACACCCAAGACAATGAGTTATGAGCAAAAAATCAAATAGAAATTCTGAGCGATTACTGACCTACCAAAAAAAAGTTCATTAAATAGTTCATTTGCATATAATATAAGGACAAGTTTTATTTTTAACAGTTTGAGCGGTCTAGAGGTTACCTGCTAATTTTTTGTCAAATTGTTCAAAACTTCTATAGACGGTGTTCTATCTGTGTGTAGCCGTAAAAATATCATTAATGCTAAACATATATAGCATATAAAACATATATAGCTAAATATGATTTAGGTTACTTTATACATTTGAAGTTCAATCACTTTGTTGTTTCTAAGATGTAGGTTTCATGCTTCAAGTGTGTGCAACCCAGTATAAACTTTACCTCCATGACCCAGTGTGAATAGAGTTAAAATCATTTTTTATATTTATTAAGGATTTCTCTGCCATATCGGTTGCAATCTTGGAAATTAAGTTTGCCAAAAAGTGTACTAGTAGACACTGAAATCAATTTTTCAGCTATTATAGAAGTTCAAATATTTTATAAAACTCATTTTTAAAGGCAGTTTTTAGTGACACCAAAATGACAGTTTCACATACGTCTTATCACTTACACCCAATCCTATAAAAAAACTAATAAAAATCTAGCCTTAGTCTTAAATTCCTACCAAGTTTCATGCTTGTACCACAAACTGACCAATAAAACACAGTATGTATTTATTAAAAACCTAAATTTTATGGTATTTTAATAGATTTATTGACTGGTTTTCATATCATCTGAGTAACTTTCAATATAAATGGACGTGGGATGATTGGTAAGTTTAATTTATTATAAATCTAATGCAAGATTTTTTTATCTTTTATTTTGAAGGTGATTTAATTACTTCTATCATAAGATTCTATCTAGCTGTATAGAGTTGGTTACTATAGTAACTACAGGTTTGCTGATTAAGCGTTACATGTTAAGCTTTTAGAGAAAAAGTTAGAGAAAATTGTTTAGGAGAATGAAAAAGAAAAGTAATTTCTATTTAATGCCAGGCTTAGTTAACTAATTGTAACTAATTAGTTAACCAAAAAAAAAACAGCCAGTTAACTAATTTTTGGTGACAGAAGTTTCATTTATGAAAAGCTTTTATTAAAAAAATTTGAATTTTTTTTTGAATTTTTGATTTAAAAATATGTAGTACTTTTTGCTTTTGCAATAAAAATAGTACTCAAACTAAGTGTAGCACTGTACTCAAACTAAGTGTAAAACAGGTAGTACTCAACGTTTTGAAAAACATAATTAAAAATAAGCAATATATTTGCTTGAGTTTTGCAATGCTTAATGAAAAGTAAAAAGCATACAGACAAATAATTGTTACTATCAACTTTTAGCATAAAATTTTTTGAGTTAAAATTATTTTACAGCGTAAAAGATGATTAAATTAGAATACAGCATGCAAGATGATTAAATTAGTATAAAATGTCCAAGATTTTTTTTATTCCATTCACCTCTTCAAAGCTGAGAGGGGAAATACACTTATGGAGGCTACTTTGAGTTGAGAGAGGATTGTGGTTACTATGGTTACAGTCGTCTCTTAATTCTTTAATTCAGCTGAAAAAACCGGAAAACTGCTGAGCAGCTGAGAAAAGTTGAGAAAAAAAAGAAGTTATTTTCTTATCTCAATAGAAGAAAAAAAATTGTTTTTTCTTGACAGAAGAAAAGAAACTATTTTATATTTAAACAAACAAGAAGCAAAATAAACATTTGTGCATAGTAAAATATTTTTATTTACTTTTTAAAATTAATTCTTTAAAATTAAGTTCTTATTACTAATTAAAATTAACTTTTAAGAATTAAAATTAATTTTAATTCTTAAAAGTTTTTTATGGTAATTTATTAGATTGCAGTAGTTTAAATAAGGAAATGTCCATAGATACAAAAAGCAAATAAAAAGAGTTATATGTAATAATGTCAGAAATCTCATTTCATTTAAGTGAATTTTTATATTTATATAAGTATATTTACAACCTTGTCTTTTTAGCTTGTGTTTTTATCAGCCATAATAAGCTTTTGTTGAAAGCATATAAAATTACATATTTTTTTGTTTTCCATTTCTTATGAAATTTAATATCATTTTTATAGGATTCAATATGCTGATAGCAGTGCAAGTGATGACCAACGTTGTAGGTTTATTATCGAAGTGCTTGCAAAATGTCAAAGGTGTAATTTTTTTTTTTTAAATAGCATTATAATTAAAATTTTTTATTTATTTAAGTTAACTATTTTAGTTAGCTTGAGTAAAGTTTAAAAAAAAATTAAAAATATATATATATAGTCTTGAAAACTATATAAAATGATTAACACCAACATTTTTAGCTTTTTTTTCTTAAATAGGAATAAACATTTTTAAAGACCAATTACGAGCTACATATCTCACACCTATGAGTTATACATATCACAATTACCAGCTATACATCTCACAATTTCATGAATATTTGTTTCTTGTCATGAAATGTTAACATCACAGTAAAGGGGCGAATTAACTGATATTTACCAATTTGTGAAAATTTATGCTGAAAAAACAAATATACTGCAACAAAAATTAAGTTCTTTCATAAGACTCTGACAACTATTATGTTGTAAATATTTGTTTAAAACAAATGTTAATCCAGGTAATACAAATACAGGATAATACTTTTGATAATAATACTTAAAATAAAAAAAGAAAAGCTCATTATTAACTTCAAAAGCGTATACAAATAAATGAAGTTTATATTAATTTTAAAATTAGCTTCTACTAACCTGACGGACAAACGACTAAAGGTAATACTCGTCTGACTTGGTTATCTTGTGTCAATGTCATTGTAAAACATGTTTTTTTGAAATTGAATTGTTTTTTATTTAAATTTTTATCCAGAAATTAGCGATCAAATATAGTAGATATACTAGTAGATATATTTTTGCATAATAATGTTGACTTAAGCTCCAAGTTGGAAATTGAGCTAAAGGCCATACTCTTAGATAAACAGCTATGCAAATACAAATCTGACGTGTCATTCAAAAGAAGGTTATATGATTTTGCATTGATATGGTTACACTTTGCATGGACCCATGAGTTACAAAGATCACATTGGATGGCTCTTTGATTGTCAGTTATATTTTTATGACAAGTATTGCAGAGAGATTTAAATGCCATAATCTTTAGAAAAAATATATATATGTATAAACAGTATTAACTTGTTCAAAGATCACAAATATATCTAAAGCATTAAAGGGATCCCTAAGTGCTCCTAACATATTATCTCATAAAAGAGCATTAAAAAAAAATATATAAGTTTTTTTTCTTTTTCACCAAATTGTATAAATAAATGCTTGCTAACAAAAAGCAATTGCCGAAATCACTGAAACAACTCCATTTGGATTTTATTTTTTACCATTGAAACTCGATTGTTAGTCGTTAAAAATCACGTTAGTACGTCACAACAACTTTAGAATATCTACTTCGTGATATCTAGTCATGATTAAATAGTTTTAATCAAGTTTTTTTAATTAGTTTTGCAAAAACAGTATAATAGAATTCGGTTGAAAGACGTCGTTAAAAAAAAGTTATTAATTATTAGTTTAGAACTTATAAAAAAAGTCTTACAGGGCTCGTATTAAGCGTATCGCGATGGCGATTGCTTTTCACACTTTCGTGATTAGTTTTTTCTTTAAAAAAATCTTTTCGCGATTTTTTTTTTTTTTTTTTTTTTTTTTTGGTTGTTTAATTACTTTTTTTCTAGCTTAGCATTTTTTTTAGCAATTCTTAAAAGTAATATTTTTATCATAAAGAACGTCACACAAAATTTATTATTCTGAATAGATAGATGAATAGATGATTTGCTCTTTCGCACGGAGATTTTCTTTCAACGTAAAACATTTTTGAATTTAAATTACTTTAAATCTCTGCTTGCAAAATTTTTACAAGTTCATTAAAGCAAAAAGTTGAAAAGTTGGTTTTTATCTTTGTTTATCAAAATGTTTAAAATAAGGCTTAAAAACGTTAGAGCAAAAAAATTGCTGACTTTTATATGCATTTTTATACTGTTTGAAAAAAAAATAATAAAAAAGAATTAATTATTATAATTATTAATTCTAATAATTATTAATGAATGTGTTATTTGTTAAATCAATGCTAATAAAAATGCTAATAAAAACCAGCAATTTTTTTACTTTAACGTTTTTAAGCCTTATTTTAAACATGAAGTATAATTCGATTTATTAAACCAAATTTTTTTGTTTCACTTTTTATTGAAAAACAATTGAAATGGAAAAATTGAATAAAAACATCAACTGAAATGGAAAAATAGAATAAATACAATTTTATTTATTTGCTTCGTTTTATTTTAAACACATTTCATGTTATTAAACTGTTTTAAACTTATTAATTTGTATAAACTGTTTTACATTAACACAAGCTATTTATATTTTAAAGACAACTTTTTGTTTCATTGTTGTTTTATAGCTTTTTACAATAACAATTAAATACTCACTAAAAACACGTGTTTTATTACACGTGTTTTAAAGTGGTTTAAATATTGCAGTGATGGATCCAGGAATTTTTGGTGGAGGGGGATGTTAAAATATTTTTGAATTTTGTACCATGTTTGTGTCTCCTATAAAAAAGCAAAAAACAAGGTTCTCAATTTCTATGATATTTTCAAGACTTTCAGATTCTGTATGGGGGGGGGGATGCATACTCCCATTCTCCCCCTGGATCCGTCCCTGAAATATAGTAATGTTTGCTTTTTACTCTTATTTTTTTACTTTTACTTTTTTAAGTATCATGTTAAGTAAAAACAATTACTTAATAGTATTAAATTTGTTACTTGCTCATTACACTGTAACTGCGGTAGTGGTGTAGTGGTAGAGCGCTCATTACACTGTAACTGCGGTAGTGGTGTGGTAGTGGTAGAGTAGTAGTGGTGGTAGTGGTAGAGTAGTAGTGGTGGTAGTGGTAGAGTGCTCATTACACTGTAACTGCGGTAGTGGTGTAGTGGTAGAGCGCTCGCTTCATAAACGAGTGGTTCCGAGTTCGATCCCCACCACGTCCCTGGTAGTACCGCGCTCAACTTGTTTCTCCGCGCAGCGGCTTTGTTCATCAAGGTTCGTGTTACAGAGTTATAGAGTTGAGAGAGGGTTATAACCACAAATAAGTAGCCTCCTCGTCTGTAGTGGCCTTCTGGACCTTGAGGAGGTGAATTAAATAAAAAATAAAAAATAAAAAAAAACTGCAACTTAAACTTTAAATTATAAATTAAGCTGTAAATTATAACAGTAACTTACGCTATTTTAAACTCTGCCAAACAAGAAAATCATAAGATAACATTTAAGTATGAGTATGTTAAAAGATAACAATTATGTGCTAAAGAGACAATTTTATACTAACGCATCTCCCTTCCTCAATTACCGCACATTAGTGCGAGCTATAAGAGAGAGGGGGAGGTGCAAAAAAAAAAAAAATTTTTTTTCGCGATTAGATTTTTTTGCCTTAATTCGAGCCCTGTCTTAGTTTAATTTCTAATAAAATGTCTATTCAACCTTATCAATTTGAACCAAAAAAATACAGTAAAATTAATATAAATGTTAATTTATCTAAAACATTTTACAATAATTATTTTTTTTATCAAGCGAAAATGAGAATTAATGTCACTTTTGAAACCATAAAAATAACTGAAATAAATTTATTTTTGTACTAAGGAAATATTTTAAATAAACTTTCATGTGTCTTATAACTCATGAAAGTTTTTTTTTTTGTTTATTATTGAAAGTTAATTGCCCTTATAACACAAATATATAAATAAAAATTATTAAAAAAATTTTAATATACAAATATATTTTCACAAAATGCTACAAAATTTATTCTTGCAAGTAATTATGTGTTAGTTGAAAAAAAAGACTTTACTTTTAAATTTAATTACCAACTTATACGTTTGCAATAATGACATTTTATCTACTTTGTTTAATTTGACATATAAACGTTAGTTTTTTGAGGCAATAGAGTCAATAAACTTTAGACAAGGCGCATTTTTTTTAATTAAAAAAAAATGTATTTTTGAAAATTAAATTTGTTAGTGTATGTTCATTATTATGTTTTAGAATTATATACATCAAAAAAAAATTTTTAAGCTCTTTCATATGAGATTATATCTTTATAGCACTTTGGCATCCCTTTAAATAATATACTTTCAAAATTGCTAAGTGGCTTTGACCCATCACATTTGACGATTTGTGAATACTTAATTCGCCCCTTATGAGTACATATATAATTTAGTATCACTAATAATTCAATGAAAAGAAAATTTGTAAAAGTCTTAATTACATCATTTAATAAAATGTCTTTGTTGAGATTATTATTATTTTTTCATTCATTTGTCGAGACCTGATTTGAAAAACTCAAAATTGTTGAAAAATTATTTTATTTATAAATTTAATTTTATTTTGATCATTTTTAGTTTAAATCTAAATCTAAAATGACTTGTGAGTTTAAATATTTGTCAAGACAATCCCAAAAAGTCTCCAAAGAAAACTTGTAAAAATTTTTGCTAGGTTTCTTCATACTTTTCTTTATCAAGCTTCATTAAAACAGATACTTTTCCAAGTGAAAGATATATAAATAGATATATAAAGCTCTCTAAATAGATATATAAAGCTAATTTTTTAAAAAAATATAGTAAATGTAGTAAATATTAAAAAATAATAAAAAATCCTCAGGGTGTGACAATAAAATCCTCAAGGTGTGACAATTAAATCCTCAGCAGGGTTCCTCCTTAAAAACCTTAAATATCCTTAAAAAATAAAAACCTCCTTAAATGTCCTTAAATAACCTTAAAAAAAGTTGAAATTTGACTGCTCTCCTTAATTTCTCCTTTTTTATATTTAAAATGTTTATATTTAAAATTTATTGAAAGAAATAAAATTATGTTTTTAATGTAATCATTTTCTCCTTAATTTTATCCTTCATTTTATCCTTACTTTTTCTTTCAAAAAAATGTTGTTTGCCACCAAATCTCCTTAAATATTAGGAAAATATCTCCTTAAATCTTCTTAAAATTCTTAATTTTAGCCTTAGTTTTAATAGTGGGAACCCTGCTTAGGGTGTGGCATTAACTGTTATGGTTATGAATAGCTAAACTGTATATTAAATAAACTGTTAACTATAAAATTAACATAACTAAAATGTATAGAAAGTATCGGAGAATTAATTGTTTTTAATGTTGTGTGTATGCGTATGAAACACTTTTCTTTATGAGAATATTAGCTAAGATAATGTAGTTTTTTAAATTGATTTTAGGAGTACATTTCATGAAAATTTATTAGAAATTCTTCCTAATTCACTTTTACCATTACTTCCTGAACCTACGCAAGGTTACTTTAGATACGAATGCGCTGAAGCAGGTTATTGTTTAATTTTCTAATTTATAAAGAACATTCTTTAAATTTTATATTTTAATTTTAAATTTCTTTTTTTTTAGATGAGCCTGGTCACACAACAGTTCGCAAATTGATTGATGGAATTAAATCTAAAAAAGACACTCAATCTTTGCTTACAACATTATATGAAATTGGTCCTTCAGAAAAGTCTTTTTATGAAAATGATGATCTTGTTGGTAAAAAATAAATTGGTTGCTAATTTTATTAATATACTATTTTTAGTACCACCTAGTGTAGATGTTTAGTCTTAAAAATAGTATAAAACGATTAGCGCAAACCTTTTTAGCTTTTTTTAAATACAAATAAATCACCTCACACAAGACCAATTATGAGCTACACAACATCTCACAATGTCATGATTTTTCTTTCATAAAATGATAACAGCTCAGTACATATATTGTTTAATATCACCAGTAATTAAAGTGACCTTGTTAAAATTAAAAAGAAATTTTTTTTCTTCTCATATCAATAGTTACTTTATAAATAAGAATTACTATTTTTTTTGTTTTGCTTTCGACTTTATTTGTAATAAAAGGTGTTTTTCTAAAACTATGTAAAAGTTTGTACTGAATAAGAAGTTTTTTTTTTTTTTTGCAATTTTCAGATCTTATATTAAATGTTAAAAAGTTGTTATTTTTCTATCTATAGACTTTCGTTTATAAAAATATTTGTTAAGTTTTGATAAAAGATGAAAAATTTTTAATGAAATGCAGGCATAACACTTATGGTCAATAAATCATGCAATGCTAAAATTAACTAATAAATAAAAAGAAAAATATCAAAAGTTTTCTTTAGTTTTATCCTGCTTTATCTGCCAAGGAGTTGCAGTGTGGTGTGGCTCATCTTCAAGTGGATTAATCGGACCTTTTTTGACATTATTGTGACTGGTCTTGTTTTTCTGAACTTGCTGCAACAGTCTGTCATACCAAACATTAGAGAGGACTTTGAACAGGATGAGTTTTATTTCCAGCATAATGGGGCACCTCCACACTACCATCGTGATGTTAGATCCTTTCTTGATGAAATCTTGCCAAACAGGTGGATTGGACAGAGAGGTTTTGTCGAATACCCTCCACATTAACTAGACCTCACACCACTAGACTTCTTTTTAATTCTTTTTTAATTAATGGTGTTTTTTAATTAATCTTTTTTAATTAAAAGTAATGTTGCATTGAACATGAATGTACAAATTTCCCAAAGGAATTGTTCTATCATGTGTGCTATTCCATCACTTTACGTTGTCAGCAGTGTCTGGAGCAGAACAGACACCAGTTTGAGAACATGCGATAACAAGACATGCAACAACAAGTGTGTGTGTGTGTGTATATATATATATATATATATATATATATATATATATATATATATATATATATATATATATATATATATATATATATTAGGGTAGGTCGATTTTAGCTTTTTTTTGAATTTTGAGTTGCGTAATGTTGCAGTTACTGTGTCTAGGTTAGAAATAAGGTTTTACCAAATCTCAAGTATCCTGGTTTAAAAATGGCTTGCGGATTTGCATTTTAAGTCTTAATTTTGGACTAGTTTTGTTAAATTGTTTATTTCAAATGTTGCAAATTTTTAAGTCTAGTAATCTCGTTTTAAAATATCTGGTTTTAAGTTTATAAAGTAACCAATAAACAAGCGCAATTGTTTTAAGTAGCCAATAAAGTTTCGCTAAATCGTTTACACGCATTTAAACTTTTGTGTATTTAATTTTCTTGTTTGTATTTTAAAGTTAGTTTTAAAGTTAAATTTATTTAAAAGTAGGTTCAAAAATAAAACTGCAATTTAAAGAAATCTTTTAATATCAAAGGTAAATACTTATGATTATTATATCTAGGGTAATGTTTTAAACTGTTTATATTACATAAGTTTTGATTTGCAATTTCTGAAGTAGATTAAATTATATAAAACTTTTTGATGGAACTAATGGTTTTACTCAATTCATGAGTTTCCTGAATTCATGGCCCCAAATCTTTTCAAAAGAGTTTTATTTCTTTATTTTTTATCAAAGCAGGTTTTTAATAGTAAGTTTTGATATTTTAGATTTTTTTGATGCTTTAGCTCCCACTAAAAACTCACGCTGCTGCCCATTACTCTAAGTGTAATACTTTAATACAGTTTACATATATAATTAATCTACAAAAATGTCGAAAGTAAAGGTTGCCATTACACGGATGAAAAGTGAAAAAAAAATATTGTGGCGGCCCATGTGAACTATCAACCACAGATCCAAGCACTTTTAGACAGGTTATTCAGTATTATTACTATCTTATTCATATAAATCCAAATGCAGATATCTTATTAGCGACTCAGCAAATTAGCAATAATTAAAAAACCAATTTGGGCTACAGTAAACCCAAGATTACCTCTTATAACTGACGAATCTATTAATAGGAAAGTTAAAGATCTTCTCGTACTTGTTAAGGATATTAATCGCAAGCATGGAAAAGCAAGCGCTAAAAGAAATCTTGATGCAAACTTGGACAAACTTTTTGATATTTCTGCGTGTTCCTGTTCATTAGATGTGTTTCCCTCAGGGTTATGTAGTCACAGAAAAGTTTCATGTAATAAAGAAAATTGCATGGAAGAACATATTGTATGTCTTTGTTCTCAAAGTAATAAAGTACCTCTGGAAGACAGAGTTTATCTTTGTGATCAGATGAAAAAAATTGATCCAAAAGGTGCATATCAACTTTCTTCCGTCGATAGATTATCTGTCAAAAGGATTCAAAAACTTGATAAAGAACGACAAAAAATATATCATAAGCTAGTTAGTGAAGATGAATCCCTCATAGCACAAGTAAATTTAATTGAAGAAACAAGTGGTTTGACCAATACGGAGGTAAATATTTTATAAATACATGAAATATTTGTAACAGATGAAACAGAAAGCGTTTTATTTTATTAACTCTTTTTAGGATGAAGGTGAGTGGAAATTAGTAAATAATCCTATTGGAAAATACAATTTAGTTAAACTTCCAAGATTTGCAATGGAATTAGTCAGAAATGAGTGTTCGTCAAACGTAGGTGCAGCCCTTGCAAATGCTTTACTACATGACATAAAACATCTCTTGAAAAATGGCGTTGATATTAAAGATATTTTGATTGACAAATGCAAGTTAGATAGGGCCAAGTCAAAAATAACAATCGTTAGTGAAGAGGTGGACTCAGAACAAAAAAAATAGTTAATTTGTCTTGGGGTTGACAGCAAGCTCGAACAAATAACTAAAACAAGTATAGTAATAAACTTACCTCAAGGAGAAGTACTAAAGAAATGCATTGAACCTGAACATCACCTCACATTCGAGTGGAAATTATTTGACTCATAGGATGATTCCTGTCACCGGTGCTACAGGTTTAGATCTTGCTACCGAAACGTTTAGTGTTTTACAAAAACATAACAGTTTGGAAAGTATACAAGCTGTTCTTCTTGATAATACTGCTACCAATACTGGACCAATTAGTGGCTTAGTGGTAAAACTACAAGAGTTTTTAAAAAGAAAACTATATCTAATTGGATGCGCATTACATCAAAATGAACTTCCGTTACGAGCTCTTTTTGTAAAACTTGATGGTGACACAACTGGGCCAAGAAGCTTTAGTGGTCTACTTGGCAAAAGATGTGCTGAAAATATTCAGGATAGAAATCAAGTTTTGTTTAATTGTATTGAAAACCCAATTGAAGATGGATATATTCCAGAAGAAATACTAGTAGACCTTAGTTGCGATCAAAGACTTTTATTTGAATATTGCAAAGGAATAGGCTTTGGTAAAGTTTCTGATAAATGGTCCACCTATAAAATTGGCGCTTAACCATGCAAGGGGTTAACTCTAGCCATTCGCCTTCTCTGTTTGTATACTAGAGACAATCAACCAACTGTTTCTTTAAAAAAAACTTGTATGTTTTATTGTTTAGGTTTACACTCCAGTGTGGTTTGATATAAATAAATCTTCAAAATTTCACGAATCCCCGCGTCTTATTTTTTCTATTATCACTAGAATAAATAATCTCCTCTTTGATGATGTTAAACATATTGTTAAAAAAAAACATTAAAAACAATGCATTGTGCCTAAAACCTGAAAATATTTTTTATGCCATGTTAAAAGATAATGACAGCAAGATATGAAACTTTGGTTTTCAAATCCTACTGGGTCTAAGGCAAAAGTATTTTTTTATAGTAAACTAAAATAAAGTTTTGAAAAAAATGATACATTAAATGTGGTTATTGGATTTGATTTATATTTATAGAGTAAACAAGAAAAGGAAGTAAATTTAAAAAAAATTCCAGAAATTAATTTTAATGCTAATCATTGGTATGAGTTGGTAGATATCAGCATTACTAAATTTACGGAGCCCCCAACAACACAACATTTTTCAATTGAGCAAATCCAATATGCGATTAGCAATAATGTTAAACCTGAAATCCCCTACTTTCCATCTCACTCCCAAAGTGTTGAGCGAGCGGTAAAACTTGTGTCGGACGCATCCCAATATGTTTATGGATTTGAGAATCAACACAGATGCATTTTAACTAAACTACTTAGTAGGAAGATGCGTTAACCGTATATTTCAAAAGGGCATTGTTTCCATTCTTATGATGATATTTTTTAATTAAAAATATTTTCCTAAAATATATATATCCATAGCCAAAATGTTTTAAATTGTGAAAATAATGTTTATTTTGATATTCTTATGTAAATATAAGAATGAAAGTTTCACTATTTAAATCTTCAAATAGTTAACAAGTTGTTATAAATTTAGCTTAATTGTTATAAACTATTATAAACTTAAATCATACAGCAAAGCAAATAGTATTGAAAAACATTTAAATATGAACATAGTTAAAACGTCAAGTTTTGCCTATAACGCTTTTTAAGGTGTTTTTTTACATAATCCAACAAATCTTAAAAATTAAATCCGCAAGCGATTCTTCATCCTAAAATCTCTCAAATTTTGAGAGTAATCGTATTTTAACTGTCTACAACTACTGCAATATTAGGCAATATGTGGAATTAAAATCGACTTACCCTAATATATATATATATATATATATATATATATATATATATATATATATATATATATATATATATATATATATATATATATATATATATATATATATATATATATATATATATATATATATATATATATATA